TCTATCAATGTCTTTAATGGATCAAATCAATACAAAGATGCAATACTTATGTTAGATATGAAGAAAAGATAGCTGAACGATAACAAAAGTTCATGTAGAAGTGTCGAAAAAGGAATTCTTTTCGATTGTATAAACAGCAGATAAAATTGCGAAGTTCAAAACTACTTTTCGTTGTATAGAAATGAATCGAAAGAGAAATTAACTTTGAAAACCGTGAACATTGATAGAATAAGTCTCTAGATAAATTTAATAATATTGTTTTGATCAAATATTTTAGTTAAGATCGCAATAGTATTGTGAAGACAAGATATAAATGATAACTTACCACTTTTTTCTTGATATGATGAATCATATCCTGAGAGTGAAGAGCCATAAACACGAACTTCTTTAAGACTTTTTTATCTCACTGAGATCTACTTATTTTGACAACATGACCTCGAGAGCTCGAAATCCGTTTGAAATACTTCTCTCGTAAGCAATGTAGTTTTTATAATAATTGTGCCAATAATCATGGCACGAAATCACTTCATCGTTTGTCTAATGGTAGATGTGAGTTATGGGTCAAAATGAAGACGACACTCACGCACACTCCGACGAATTTCATTTGATTACAGTTTAATTCACATTCATTTTGCTACTTTTTAAACTATCAGAGTATTAATGATACTTCTCTTGAACAATTATATTTCACTGTCTTATTAAAGTCATGAATACAGAAAATAGGTTAGAGAAAGAATAGTTGACATTAATCGATTATGAGGTGTGGGCGTGGTTCGTATCTTCAGACACACACCCATATGCATACCCATGTCCACACCCTCATATATGATAACTAGTCTTTTTCAACAAAACCATTTTTTTTTACAACGAAAATCAACAATACATTACAATAGGACTGAAGGCAAAACATCCATGAGTTATTGATAAATGATTAGAGATTGGTCAAATCTGTGAACGATCATTTGTACCATAGTAACATGATTTTGATTCATTTCTGCTTTTTGTAAAAATGCTCCTTGATTCAGAGCATTTTTAATCAGGTGAGCAAAGCAAAGGGACGCTTGAATGTAGCCAGATTGATATATCATGTATTTGAACATGACGTCAGCAAACATATTTTGAATGGTGAATATTTGAATGGAATCAGAGAGAAGACTACCACCTAAAGAGAGGATAGATTGATTCAAAGTCATTGATACATTAAACTTGATCTCAATATTTTTCTGATCGAATTACAAAAGATTGCGCTGTAGTACCGAAGCTCAACATAGAAAACTCTCGCCTTGTCATTCTCAGTCTTTGTACTTCATTGATGAGAAAGTGAATTATATTCGCTAGAGCGAAGGATACCTGTTCGTTGCCAATCGTTATCACTAGTCTGTTGAACCGTGTCGGACGAAGTTGAAAAGCTCATGACGAGTAGAAATAATTTCGATACTATTCGATCGGGAATGCCCAATTCAATGGCTTTCAACATGAGGGTCATCAGTGACACACCATATTCTGCAATGCCTACGCTTCGATTCGTGGGATCATCGTGAAATTTGCCTTCTTGGCATATGTGTGCACCATTCAGTGCTCCCATGTGATGAATATTCCGCTGAACGAGATTTCGACGATCAGTCCACGGTAACGCAGCAAACTGAGGTACCGCTTCTACGAATGACCAGACCGACGAGAAGAACAAATTCATGGTGACCATCAGACTATTAGCAGCAACCTTGAAACGATGTTTGGGTGGACAAGTTGAGTAGAGATCCATAGTTTGTTGAATTTGTGGAATCGGACAATGAACATCATAACAATGAAGAACATTGGACAAGAGCGACCATTGCTCGAAGTTCAACAATGATTGATCATTGCACAGAAGATTCAATGGTTGAATGCTCGCTGAACTGAGAACCTACATGAAAAAAAAAGAATTATTCAAGTGAGTGAGAGATTCGTTCTTCTGTATACAGACCTTATTTTGTAATTGAGTGCTGCTATTGACATGTTGCTGATGCTTATGTCGCGAGCTATGTGATGATCGAAAAAGATCTTTGTTCATTCCGACGGCTAAACACTTTTTCATTCGACAATATCGACAGCCTCGTCGACTACGTGAATTTACATCGCATTGTCCGTCAAATTTACATTGATAAGTACTCTGTCGATCAGGAATAGAGAGATATTTTGTGTGGTAAAAAATAAAATCATGACTTACCAAGTCCAAATGAGCATTACGACGAAAGAACATTTTACAAGGAAAGCAGCAGACGGCGTCATAATTAGTCGAAGCTTCATTCGAGTCACAAACTTGACAGACACGGGACAACTTTGTTTTTGGAAAAGATTGGTCAAGCTCACTGCACATAACCATCGATAGACCGAATCTAAACAAGATCAACGTAATTCAAAACTCTTTTTATGTTAATCTTTATTCTTTCGTCGCACATGTCTGCTTCTACGTGATGAAAAGACACACATACAAATGTATCTCTCGCAAATGTTATGTGGTTCTTTTTACTTTCTTCTTTCTCTTCAGATTTTTTCTTGTTTTTTTCTTTCTGCCGTCAGGGAATACGGCGAGAACGGTTCTCTTCAAGCATCTTTCATGACTACAAGAACAAAACAAAAAGCCTATGTGTTTAAGTATTTTTTTTTTTTAATGATGAATTATTTTCTCTATGAAATAATGAGGGAATATCTTCGAAGCCTTAAGAGTTCTCTCTTTCTTTCTTTACTCAAAAAGAAAATTGAGTTATAGAAGAATCTAATTGTCAAACAAAGGGAACGAAAAAGACACATACTAAATTTCGTCTGTCTAATCTATTTGATGAACCGATTTATGGTGAAATTTTCTATTGATGCGTGCAAGATCATTGACAACGAGTTCGAGCGGTATTAATTTAGAAGATATAATGTGGAATAGGACTAAGCGAACCTTTAGAGTAACTTGAATGAGTAACAAGAACATTGATGTTTACGCTTGAACTCTTTCTCTATTCCAAAACTAAAAAGACTTGGTTCTCAGGTCATTACTAGTGTGCTGTCAGCATGCATTGCTTTGCGAAGTATGCAATTCTTGATCGATTTGCTACGATGGAAAGGAAAAAAGTGTATTCATGAATAATTGCATTCCATATGGCATTCTACATTTTGTGCTGATGAAATCGACTCAAACTCATCCTTTTCAGATGAAGTAGTTTTCATCACATACTCAGATAGTCTCTATCTTCAATGAGATGGGATGAATCGAATGAGTGATTTATCTTGACTTCGACCCATGTAACTGAAAAATATTTGCAAAACAAAGGTCAAGTATGAATTTAACGTGAGTATTAAGCAAAATGAATTGTAAAATACAACATTCAGGAATATAGATATCCATTATATCGATAGAGTTAATTCGGTTGCACTGCGCTCGTTTTCCACTTGTTCTCATAGCTTTAAGCTCTCTTTCAACTCAGAGAAGCTCAAACAAAAAATAGAAACGACTATTGTTTATTATGATAGAGTCTAATTTATAAGGCATGTATTGAAAAAATATGGCGTCTTTCATCAACATCCCTGAATCATCATAGATAAATAAATTTCATTGTCCAGCATTGATGCCTTTTTTGACCAACCATAAAGTGATGTCGCTGTTCGTCTGCTATTTTTGAAGATAGTTGAAATTTGTTGGTACTTCTTTCGACTTTGAACTATTTCTCTCATTTGATGCAACGAAAATATTTGACGAATATTGAGAAAGCAGCTATGATTGATGACAAACATAATGATAGAGGTCACTCGTCATTGAACACGTCGTCTTACAAGGACTTGTTTTTATCTTCAGTGTTTTCAATCAGTCACGCGAGACACCAAAGAAAAGTTCTGATGTTGATTAGTGTACACATCTTTTTCTCTCTTCTCATCAAATATGCTGTATCAAGCCCTTATCATTCATTCAAATTAAGTCAACTGTTTGAGAGCTATTGAATCACGCTTCTCTTCAAGGAAAGAATCGAGTCAATGAGCAGCATCACTTAATACAAGATAACACTCGTGCTCATGTGTACTGAGAACGAAAGAAAAATTGTAAGAATCTCAATAACTCGTCTGGCATCGAAATTCATCATCGTTGTTCTCAAACGAATATCTTAACATTAATGATACATTGTGAACAAATACAAAATAATAATCTTGGAAGATAGGCGTATTGATAATATTTGCAATATTTTATTTGTTATCAAGAAAAAAAAACGATAAAAAAACGGCTCTCCTACTACCTGACATTTTGCTTGATTAGTTCCCATCTTCGCGATCCAAATAATTGCAAAAACAGAGCTCCAGCAAAATCCAAAAATCCAATGTATTATTTCCAGGACGTACAGAAGAGGAGGTCGGGGGAGTCAAGCTTCCTCTCCGATGAGCAAAAATTAACTCGCATATTTGATTAATTGCTTCATACCCATAAAATAGTTCGCGTAGAAGTAACATCACGCTTGTCACATTCTAAGCGGTTCAGAAAAAAAATGAGCACCTTGCATGTACTGAGTAATGCCGAAAATAAAAATCTCGAAAAGTTTGAAGATGGCAAGGGTAAAATTTTAGTACAGTTGATGTTGTGAAAATAGTCGAATGAAAATTGGCCGACCTAACAGTTAATCAAAGAGCATGAGACGTGGCTTTTAATCACAATAAAGAGGGTGTGTTTCCATCTTTGGTTTAGCAACACCTACACTCATCCCACACATGCTTAAAATTCAATTAATAGAACATTTCTTTCTTGAACATTCAATCTAATACTATATATTTCTTTACTATACAAGCAACTAACTATCTAATATACATCTTAATCATCAATAAGCCATGGCAATTTTCTATACTAAAAATAATATGAATGATTGTTCTTTCATTATCGAACCTATTTATTGATCATTTCAAAAACTCCCGATGCAGAAAACAAATAAGAAGTTAGATAATTATTTTTATAAAATGAACAAATCAATGTATTTTCTTCCTATTTTATTTAATCAAAACCACATGATTAGTCCACAACCATCTTCGTCAACAATAACATACGCTTCTTTCCTTTGCTCGAATGCAAGAATACGTTGTCGCAGTTTTTCAATGAATAAAGAATGTTCCGTATATATCAAGTCGACACCAAAACCATTATGATTGTAACGACGTCGAAAACAAAAGGCGAAGTTGGAGATCATTGGTGTTATATCTGTAATAATCTGTAAGCTTGTATCATCTGGTGGAATACGCATATCATATAAAAGCACATGTAGAGAGTGCAACTGTAGTAAAATCGAGAGGCAATGTAAAGCAGTCCAATCACCTTTTGCAAAAGGAAGACAATCATAAAGAAGAGTAATCTGAACAAACCGAATATTTGATGAAAATGAACCACTATTCAACGAATCAAGACTGTCTATAAGAATAGGATGAGTGACACTGGGTAGATTTACAGATATTTCTCTGTCGCATCGTAATAGATGGAGTTCAGTGATTTGATTCGAAGACACAATATGAGAGAAGAAAGGGATAGACGATTGAAGATTGTGTGACATAGTCAATTTAACAAGACGTGAATGAAGAATTTTATCAGGTGACGAGAACGTAAACGATTGTAAATCATTGATACATCTATCTAGAGGACATAATTCGGGAAATTCATTGAAAATACATGGCAAAGTGTAGAATAGATGTTGTTGAGTTTTTGGTTTATTGATCTAAAAAGAACGATTATTTACTAGGTCAGTCTACTATTCGAGGAATGTGTAACGGTTATACAAATCAAAACTTACATAACATTGACCTGAAGTTTGGAACAGTTGATTATTAGGCAGACATTCACAAGCAAATGTTGCACTACCTATTGGGCGAGGATGAGTTTGACTGCCACAAGGTACACATTCACTTAATTTCATATGTGATCCACCATCATTAATAATGAATGCATAATGAACAGCAACATTACGATGATCATTGAAGAGGGCTGAGTGTCGCATTCGATCCAGATCATCACTATTAATCACAATGGCGAAATTCATTAGTTGTAAAATAGGCATAACACGAGCAGAAGTTATTCTATCAATAAGTGTCCATTCTTCATCAAAATACCAGTAAAACGATTTGGCAAACGTAAACGTACGTAACACTTCCATTCGAGGCCACAAATCTTTAACACGTACGCTCCTAAATGATTGAGCGACTGCAGTACCCATGCATACATGTAATTGTTTTAGGGAACGTGACAACGGTTGCGTAAGCATCAGACACAATAGGTCGCATAATGTTACCAATGTAATACGCAGATACGTCAAATGATGTTGTGACATTTTGTATGCCAAGTATGTACAAAAAATGATTCTTCCATTCCAAAATCAACCGAACGAAGTCCAAGTAAATGATAAAGAATTTGACTGGCGAATTCATATAAATTCCATGTAGGATAACATGTTTCTTTCGTTATACCATGCTGAATGAAACGAATGTTAGATAAACCGATACAAAAATAAGAATTCAGAATTGAACTCATTTCCTCATCATCCTAGTCTATAGAATGAAAACACTCTTAATTTAAGACATGAAACATTCAGTGTTTTGACAGGCACAAAAAAAAACTAGCTTCTCCTATGATTGCTTAGTTGTTATAGTACGCAAACGCCTTCGCAAGAGAACTGAAGTAAAAATACAAAACTATGACTATTTTGTTAGAGAACGTACAATAAACTATATTTGCACCATACTTGTTCGTGATTCGACAGCATAAAAATGAATGAACGTAACGTAGTTTGTTACTAAGAAGAATGCTTCTCTTTTCAATGTTTCTTACTTGTGCAAACAGCTACACCCCAAGGAGTATTTTCATTATAAAAGACAGCTATTTCGATTAGGAAGGAGTGTCGAGGGGTTTTCTTTCAAAAATTTCTAACTTACTGAGGAATTTTTGTTAGAGCCTCGCAGGAAATCCTGTCAGAAAAAAAAGATCTTAGCAAACTCTGATCTCCTTCGGACATAGACTTTTACGACTATACTTTCTGTCAGTTAGTAAATCCTAAATAATCGATGACAATAGCATCTTTAGTGTGATTTCCTTCCGAAACTCGACCGCAGAGAATTGTTGCCAGAAAATTTTACACTTTCTGCAGAATTCTTAGACTCTGTACCATAAAAATAATCGAAGATTCTAGAAACAGAAGAGAAAGCGGATGGAAAGAGAGGACTTATTTCGAACAATATAAATATAATCTCTGTTTCATCATATTTCCTATTAGTGTCGCCAAGACAAATTGTGACTAGAGCTTAATAAAATGTCAGTTACTATACAAACAGTTATATGTTTAGGTGATCATAACTATAAATAATTAAATTTTTGATGAATGCCACATTAGATTAATTTATTTCTTGACATCATGCAAAATAAAATCCAAGACTGAGCTGAAAATATCTTTCAAAGAAATAGATTTTCGTTGATATTTTTCTACAGCATAAATTAAGAAAAGTACTGTAAAGGTAATTTACTATATATCCATACATTCAATGAATTCTTCTAAGTACCATTCCATTACAGCTGATATCATTTGGAACTATAGTAACTCAATGTCTTATCCAACCAGCATGGGAGATGAAGGAACGACATCCGTCCGAAGATCGGGTTGATACTCTCAGTTTCTTTTATGTTTGTATCATTCGCTATGTGGCTCCGCTCCCAAAACTACGTATTCGCCTTTTGGAAAATTTAAATTGCCTCATCGGAAAGAGAATATCTAGCAAACGTACTGAACTTACTGTAAGAAAATATCCGCTTGATTGAACACTAAGATGAGTTAATGAATTGGCATGTCGTTGTGCAAAATTGAAAATCTCAATCAAGTCTCGTGAGTACTTTACTTTTAACGTTCTTAAAACTAGTAAATGAGGCCAAAATCTCAGTTGAAGAGAGGATCCATAGCATTCAACAACAAGTGATTGTATATCAGTCAATCGAAGTAAAGATAAAAATGTTTGGAATCGATGGTATTGAATAGATGATGAATTAACATGACGATAGAAGCCTCGTTCAATTAATATTGGTGTTAGTCGACTATTGAGACTACTGAAAGACCATAAGGCATCAACAGTAGATAGATAAGAAAATACTTCGATCAATGATAGATCATCCAAATCATTAAAAGAAGTGAGCATTGTTGTGAAATGAATGAAAAGGATGTAAAATATGTCCTTTTTATTTTATCGTTCATATAAGGTTATCAAGCGGACGATCGTTTTGTTTTAATTTTCTCTTCATTATGCGTGACGCCGGCGGGTACATTTCGTCAATGTACTCATTCTTCGTATGAAAAAAAAGTATAAACGATAATAGACTCTTGTGTATGACTCATTTCCAGAAGAGATACAGTTTTTAAAAAGAAAATTTATAAATATAACACGTATACTTTAAAGAGAAAAAATTCTACTTCAACTGAATTTGATTGTTAGAAAAATGCAACATATTTTAAAACATCTAGAATTGACTCAGAAAATTATTAAATTTTGTGATAATTTCAATCGCCATTTCAATTATGAAATAGTCTCATTACATAGAGTCTTCCTAATATCAGAGAAGGCTGTGGCACAAATCTTCCGAAAATAAATAAATCAATAGTCTATAAATTTCTAGAATTTGGAAAAAATACAACTCAGATAGTCTACTCAAAATGAGCAAATGATGTAATCTAAATCTTGTACAAATCAGTGGAAGAAATAGTCCTAATTTTCTCAAACTCGAACGAAGCTCATCATAAGCTTTATTCACAATCAGAGAAACCTCTCCTGAAAATTTTTAAAGACAGGTGAGGCACCTTTGTCAAATCCTTGGTCGTAGCATCCCTTTGTACATATACACATAGAAACTCTTATACTCGGAATTTGTATATCATCGAGATCTTTCATTTTATTGTTCTTCATTTGTTATAAATCTGTTTGAGTGTAGATTCCTCGTCGATCACTGATTTATTTGCTTCATTTTTTTTCCTAATTGAACTCTTCCAAACATAATATTCGTAACTAACTTAAATATGGATATCAACAAACGATCGTTAACGACAATGTCTACATTGAATGCTCAAGAATCACGTGAAACATCAAATCATTTCGATGAGCAAATGCAAATAAGTTTAACATTAAGTATTTTTACACTTGATTATAAAAGGTAAGTCTATCATTTTCATATAGTAATAAATATTATTTAATTGTTTTTAAACATGAAGATCTGGAACAAATGTTAGACAGTAATAAAGATAATTTAAAATTAGAAGCTATGTGTCGAATTATTGGTTTGTGACAAAAGTCATCAATCTTTATACAAAGGAAAATTCTTTTTTCTATTCAATTATTTAGATAATTGCCAAAGGTAAAGATTGCTGCTGATTGTTAAAAATGTAGTTTCAAAAAATAGAGAAGTTAAAAAATTAGTTTATATCTATTTAATGCGTTATGCTAAAGTGGCAGAAGATTTTGGTTTACTTTCAATGTCAACGAGCATTACAAGTAAAACAAGAATATCTCTATGATTCTTTTGTATTATTTCTCTATGTTCGGATCTTAATCAATTGATTCGTGCAAGTGCATTACGTGTATTATTTAGTATTCATGTTCCAACAATAGTAACAATAATGATGTTAGCTATTCGTGATGCTGTTAGTAATATGTCAGCTTATGTTCGAAAAATAGCTGCAAATGCAATAGCAACTCTTTATGCGTAAATTATTGCACTGTTTCTTTTTTCGAACGATATTAATTTTGTTTTTATATTTAATTTAGATCCAGCATTGAAAGGTGAATTGATTTTAATTATTGCTAATTTATTTGGTGATAAAACAATTGTAAAAAAAAGATAATTTTGTTCCTTCGTTTTTTGGATTTATTATTTTGTTTCAAGGAGTTAATGATAATGCTGTAAAAGCTTTGGAACATATATGTCCAAAACAAATTGATTTAATACGTAAAAATCATCGACGTTTATGTAATCTTCTGGTGGATATTGATGAATGGAAATAAGTTATAGTTGTAATTGTTTTAACAAGATATGCACGTTCACAATCTATTGATCCAAATAAGGTTTTAATAAAATATATGAGAGAAATATTTGTTTTTTTTTATTTTTGATTTTATAGACATTTGAAGATATAAGATGAAATGTTTTTATGAAAATGAATCAAACCAAAATATTAATGAAGATGAAGATTCATTAGATAAACGAACATATATAATGGATAGTGATCATCGATTATTGTTACGATGTACTAAAGCATTACTCAAGGGGGATACACGATACTTCATACTTCATGTACTTTAATATACTTTAACATACGTTAATGTTATTCGAGTTGCTTCGATGCACTTTCTTTTAGTTTTGTATTTTTTCAGTTAATTCGACGAAAAAGCGACATAACGATTGTTCTCGTTATTTATCTTTCGTTCGATTTTCTTTATAGGTCTAATTCAAAGACAAAAGTATTGTTAGAGAAAAAAAACGTGTCTACCTTATATTTGATTATATCACTGATATACTATTTTTATTTTCGTCAAATTTATTCACTTTTGAAGAAAAACGAAGAAAGATACCGCTTTTTTTTCTTGTTTATTATAGACATACGACAGTATCTTTTGTGTTGAATACTAATTATTCTATAACTATATATATATATTGTCATCTTTTTATCTTATAGAAATTTTTAAAGTGGTAAAATAGTTTTTTCAAAAAGTACTGTTCTAGTGATAAACAATCTAAAAACTAATTTTCATGACACTAACAAAATTTTATTGTTGGGGAATCTGGATATCAGGGCGCCTTCATTGCACTCGATTTATTTTCATAATGCATAAGTGCAAAGCAAAACATAAATATATAGGCTGATAGAAAACTCCACGTGCTTTCAGAATAACGGATGATATAAAAATTTCTGCACAAAGTTTCGTTCATTTTTTATCAATTAAAGCATATGTGAATAAATTCGAAAGTACTTATACGTAATCTATATCGAAAACTCTTTCTAACTGTATGTTCAGAATAAGTTTCTTCATGTCTTATCTTTCCATAGGGTGCATATCTTTAAACATTACTAGAATGTGGTTTGTAAAAGAAAGCGAATACCAAAGAAAGTACTGATCCCACAGTTTGTTAGGACTTCTTTTGGTTCATTCCATGAAATGGTGTTTATCTTTTCTGCATCAGACTACCGTCTTTATTTTCAACAAATCATATTAAAAATACTATGGAATTCTTTTTGAGATAATATTGAGAGAACTCACTATCGGATCTCTAGCCATCTTCAGATTAATGTTAGTATTGTTTTACTTGCTCTTCAACTTTGTCATATCTAGTCACTGGCTCAGACATACTCATAGAGCGAGTACTTCGGGCCATTTGTAGCCATCGTTTCAACTAGTTTTATCAAAAATGGCGCCATTCGAGTCTCAAAAAACTGTATTGGCTCATCATCATTTTCACATTCAGATTTGACGTCTTTTCTTACATTGTTGTTTGTTAAATTGTCGATCACACCACCCAACGTAATACCGTATGGTTTTTCATTAAGTTTGTAGCGAATCGAACAGCGTATCTAACCGAAAAATGAGCACCACCATACTATCGATCCCTTTGAATAATATAAAAAAATATTGGAAGATATATTTTTTCCGTGCCAACTACTCTAAGCTGTTTTGATAGGCCACATTTTAGTCCTGTTAAAGATCTGCTCTCTACTGAAAGGCAAGATATGATAAAACGTTTTTGAGCATACNGGCTTCATAACAGGGATATCACGTTCTACTCATAAAGCATACAAGTCTCATATAGAAAGATAGACCAAGCCTACAGGTAGTTGTCCTACAAAGACAATTGTTAATCTCAGAACGAGTTTTTTTATACGAAAGAATAATAATATTCTAGGACCTAAAAGATGATCCGAGGCTCCAGAGAATCCTAAACCTTCTTTGAATTTCCGTTTCCGGAGCGATGCGCAAAAAACATCACATCCGACAGGAAAATATCCAAATTTTTCTAATGATTTTCGATCGTTTCCTGCTTGGAAGAAAAGAAAATTGATCGGAAGTCATCGAAAAAATTCTGGAACTTTTCGGTGTTGTTCTTCCTGAAAGAAAAAGCTTCGTAGATAACTCGGTTCGATCTAACTCGAAATAAAATGAAATGATAACTGATCGAGAAAAATTTGAAAACATGTAAATTATTTTCACTTCTTACCAGGAAACCATTCAAAGAGATTTAAATATTTTTAAAGTTATAGTTTGTTTATAAGTAAGAAATTTCTAGAACAGACAATCTTAAGAGTTTACAAGTCTATGTTGCAATTTGGATGAAATATAAAATTTTTATTGAAATTTTCTTGGAGTATTATATAGTTCTTTTACCACATAAATAAGATATATGATAGAAATATATTGTATGATGTATAATGATGACAATATTTACTATCGCTGTTAAAACCATTCTAAAGTTTCACTAAAGCTCGGTAGAATAGGAATCATAAAAGACACAATGGTCACTAGGGTGACTAAACGAGAGTGCAACTGATCGATATATCTGAGACACTAATATTCTATCCCAATAGTTATTGCATCAGTGGCTCTTTTCGAATCACTGTAGGAAATGAAGGATGAAATATGAATTCGAACTTCTGTTGTCTAAGAACTTCCAAACTCGTCACTATTTCCAGTAGTTTTTTCTAATGAACACAACAAAATACTATGTATTTATTGTAGGCAATGGTTATGTTGGCTTATCTCTGTCAACACAATCTCATATTCAATTAATATCTGATCCTGGTACTCCTTTTATTTCTAGTGGCTATTCTCCTATTATTAAAATCTCATCTAAAGCATGGGAAGATTCAAGTTCAACAATTATTCAAATGAATCAAGGTCTTGTAAAACGTTTACAATGTTTTAAAATAAGTGAAGAACGTTCAGCATATGTAACTCATATGTTATATGCACATCGACGTCGTCCATCATTAATTATTCAAGATATTGATATTATAAATCCAAGTGATCAAACATTAGATCTTGATTTTCAACAAAAAATACAAACATCAGGAAATGATATCAAACAACTTGATACACAAGAATTTTCAATTGATCCATCCAAAGATACATATCTAATGACAACATATCAAATGAAAGCTCGACAACATAATTCAATTATTTTTGTTATCATAACTAATAAAATAAACCCAAGTACTCATATTAAACCTGATCGGTACTTTTTAAATTAAATTAAATTTTATCTTTTGTTTTCGGTTTTTTGTTTTGTTTTAGTCAAAGTAAACAAACAATTTTAACTGTAGTTAAATATTCACCATTGATTCAGTTGGATTCGTTACTTAATAAAACATATTCTACACAATGGCAAAATACTTTACAAAAACAAGCAAAAGATGATCTATCGGAAGCATTATCAATATCATTTAACAAATTATTAAAAGAACATATAGATACATGGTCATCAATATGGCAAAGTGGATTTTCAATAAGTCGTTCATTAGCACCATCAGTTATGAATGGTGATATTATTAATCGAACAATTTATTATGTTTTATGTTCAACATCTTCACCTCTTTATGACTTAAATTTAAGTGAAACAAAAAAGAATGAATTTAGTCAAAGTCTTTTTCAAATTGATCGATGTTATGAAAGTCATTCAACATTGTAAGTTAATGTTTTGAAAGAATTTCATTCTGTTTCGATTGATTATTCCATTAATAAAATGATCGTAACACTTAGCACAAATTACTGATGAGATCAGAAGTTTTGAAAAAGTGATTTCTTTTCTTTTTTTTGGAAATTATTATTAAGTATAAATAATATTTTTGAATCGATGATTGTTGTTCCCACAACTCTTGTTTCTTATTAGCAAGAAATAGAAATCTTATTGATTACAAGTACAATAGATAAAGGAATTAACGATAAAATCCTCATATTTAAGACATTTATAGTGTAGGTTTTAATATTTTCATTGAAACTGTTTTGAAATTTAAAAAAGTAGGTTAGTTGATTTATTTATAAAATATTCTTTTGATAATTATAAAAACAATTTCTTCTAGAACTCATATAGAAGTCTCTTTTACAACTAAGAACATTGTTCTTGATTACCAACAATTGACAGATGTAGTTCCTTGTTGTTTGGTGTATCACATGATACTTTCCTTTTCAATGATCTATTCCTTTCTTTTTATTGGAACTTAGTGAAAGTGATGTTGATTTATTAGTTTGTTCTACTTGAATAAATGTTGTTGTAATCGATAATAGAAAAACCAAACTAGGTCAAATTAGAATCAGTTGGAGTTTTGATTGGTAGTTTGCCATTAACTAGATCGATTCTATGCTGCTACAACTGTTTATTATTTGATTGAGACTGATTTCATCCAATTATAAATATGTTTCGGTTTTTAGTAAAATTTCTAAAGTAATGTACTGTTGATCTCCCATAAACTCATCAGATTTACTACATAATTGACTTTTTTAGTGTTATGAGTTTTAGTTGAATACATCTACCGAAATGTCATAGTGAAAACTGCATCTCAATATTATTTCGCGTTTATTAGTTATTTACAAAAATTAAGATATTTTTATTCATCATAGATGTATGGACAGTTGATAATGGATAATTAAAAGATAAATCGACAGTGTTCTTTAGAAACTGTTAATACGCTTTGACAGAATTCTCATAGTAATGAGTTTAACTATACGTTGTTTAAAATTCCTTTTGCATTTTCACGTACCGGATTAACCAGTATATGAATAATTCCTATGTCCAATAAGATCGCTTGGAACGAAAATTTCGCCAATAGGAAGCTTCACACCCTAGTTCTTAGTTAAGTGAAACTTGAATTTCATCAAATTTTAAGTTAGACTTCTGCGTTGAATTATCTAAACATTCTCATGAAGAAAGAAAAATAAAATATCAAGACATTATTTCTTTGTTATAGAATTGGTGGTCAATTATGGCGATCACCAGGTGATGATTTAGCTGTCTACCAATTATCTAATCTTTGGCGTTCAACATTATTAAAACAAGGTTGTTCGACTTTAATGCTTAGTGGTATGTTCTTATCAAATTTCTTTTTTATTTAAATAATTTTATTTTTGTATAATAGGTGTTAATGGTATTCTTCAATCAATGTTACTTTCAATTGGTGGTATACGTTTTCGTAATCATCATCTTGAAATGAATTTAGATCCAAATGAACTTCATCGTGATATGTTTTTTCGTTTAATTCATTTTGGTAAACAATATTTATTAAATATAAGTATTACAGTTGGACATGATAATCGTGCTATTATTGAAGTATCAATTGATAATGACAATGGTCAAGCATATGCATGTGATGCTGGTTGTTTAGATACACCAAAAAAACTTAGGTTTGTTTGAAATGATAATTTTTAATATAAATAATTCATTAGAATATTTATTTATTCTATATAGTACAAAATTTGTTCAATTTCCTGTTAAAATGACAAGTCCATCAACTGCAATACTTTATGTTACTGAAGATTTTGAATATATGACACAATTACAGCATACATTACATATAAAAAAAATTGAAATAGGTATATGAATTCTTCTAGCTTAAAAGTCAACTATAAGGTTTTGAGTACATAAAGAAATAAATTTAGCCAAAAACTATCGGAAAATTTATTATTGTCTCGTTTTTTCGTTTGATTTATTCTTTTTTTTTAATTTATTTAGCACCTCCTCATGCACATGACATTCTTGCTTTACATCGACATGGTCATAAACTTGGTGGTTTGCCAGTCATTTTTTGGATAGCATTAGCATTCTTAATAATTATATTTCATTTATTTTTACTTAAAATTGTTCTCAATGAAATGGGATTTTTTAAACCTACGATATCAACATATACAAGACCACGTGTTCATTAGACATTGAATGCTAGTCTGTTTGTTTTTACTGAACATTCGCATTTGTAATTAAGAGTTTTCTTTTTTTTTATATTAGTTCTGGATAAAGGATCTTTTTTTTTTGTTTTGTTTTCTATACAACGAGAGAAGGAATAAAGCACTACTTTTCTCATTACTAATCTGGATTATTGAATTATTACTATAGTATTGATTGTAGTAGTTCAATTAGGAGATACCGATCAATTGAATTAAACTTATATATGGTCAGTATTGAACACTAAATCGTTCAAGCACAGAAGAACTGATTTTTATTCATGTTGTTTTACCAAGGATACTGAATGAAATTCGTGGAAAAATGATCTAAATGAATTGTTAATCTCTTATTAAATCTACGTAAGAAATGAAAATACCATTGAAGATTGACGGTGAGGTCGTCTATGTAACATGCCCTCGAATTTTGTCAGTTTGTAGAGTGAACCTCTGTTCAGTCAAATAAAAAGTAATAAAGAATAAATAGATAGCATAGAGTTGAAAATGTATTTAAAATAATAAGAAATCAAAATCGAAACAAAAGTTTATTTATTTCAAAGTCATTTTCGAATTAAATTCTACTTTGTCTTATACAAGAATTGATATATGATGGGCATAAGTTGTTATAAGAATTTTGTGATCGTTTTCAAAAGTAACAGGTTATCTCCAGAGAAAGATATGTACGAGTTCAGATTTTATGGTAACATTTTATAATTATTAGAGAAATGGACTGTTAATGTCATAGATGATAACATTAGTATTAGAGTACAAAATTCAATTTCGAGAAAATAGTCAAGAGTCTTTTTCTGTCCTTAAAATGATTTGATTCTCAAAATTTCTTACTATTTAGTATTATATTTTCAAGAATTCGATAAACTTTTGCGGTGGTATGAGGTGCTAGTGTCATCCATAACAGACTATATTGTGGTCTTGACAATCAATCGCATCAATATAATTCATTACGAACCGACATATATTTTTTGCCAGCTGGCTATTGAAACAGTTCATCTTAAAACTTTCAGTTTGTCAACTGTGATAGCTGTTGCAGATATTTGACAAAAAAAAGACTATTACACTTCTTTTAGTACACTAAATAAAGTTCGGCAGTTCCCAAAATACCAACTGAAATCAGAACCATTAAATCACCAGAAAGATACGACAGTTTTAAAGTTATTTGAAAAATTTTTACTTTTTCTTCTCGAAGTTGAGGACGACACGCACCTTTCGTTACTTAAACAAAACAGTTGTACGCCATTTGCGCGCGTAACATTTCCACACCGATACTTGAGCGCATAGGATACTTTTCTCTATCTTTCACCTCGTGATTGCAGAAGTGGATAGGGAGTGTATCGTGTAAGTGCCTTTGTTCGTGTAGTAAGCAAGTTAAAATCTGAACAGCATCCTTAAAGACAAGGCTTATGCGCACTCACAATGCTCACAACATCCACACTCCGACACCGAAGAGGTAAGTGTAGATTTGGAGCGCTCGGCATGTTGTAGTAAAATTTGACGCTTAGGTTTTGCACTTACTTTGGCCGCGCCAAAACAGTAAGTTCTATAGCAAGCTTCTGAAAAACCCTAGTGGAAATTCTTGATGCTTCCGTTCCAGATCCTTCAGGGATCCGATAAGGATTCTTCCAGAATTTGCTATTTTCTCAGGAAACAACAAACTCCTGAAGAAATTGTGTAGCCGCGAAATCATAATTAGGATGGAGAGTGAATCCTGATAGGATCCTGCATACATAATTTAGAAAAAAGTCTACGCAGGAGCCTAAAGAAATCCTGAAAATGATTCGGTGTAATCGTGAGAAATTCTTAAAACAGAAATTATCAGGAATTGAGGCAGGATCCTGGTAGATTCCTCTAGAAATGAAAAGGTTTCAGACCAGGGAAGCACCGATGGTGCGAGGGTGTTGCGGTTTCCAAACCAGTACTTTCCCTCTTGCCAACACATCACATCCTCAAGAACAGAATAAGTATCTTGTGCACCCAAGTGTCGCGCGTTCAACTGTCGTGTCACGTAAATAATCACATTTCTAAGTTACAGAAGAATATACCGAAATGAAAATAAATATGGAATATTTAAAGATCTAAAATCGTCATCTGTGAAACGTATCCTTCTTGTTACAAATTATCCTAATTTATATGGGCTTACTTACTTTAAATGATATTGGCGTAGAAACAGCTAAATATCTGTTTCCTGGTAAGATATTGTGTTTTGATTGTTTAATTCAGAAGAAATAAGAAGTATATAAAAAGAAAAAGTTTATTATCGCAGGCTCTTTGAGGCTAAAATATAGAACTCAAATGTCTTTGGTTTCATCATACTAATACACAATACCTCAGATGAAAAATCTCTAATAAATAACAGTTACTTTTCAAGGACAGTTGATTGTCAGAGAATCGATCTATCTTATTTATTTCTGTATGTTGAACAGAAATTTTTTTCATTTACTTAATTTTCTCAGATGCTCTATTTTTCTGTTAGAATCAAATCAGTTTATGCTTCTTCTGTTGGTTATATGATGACTATGGCAAATAAATCTATATTACTAGCTATTATCATTGATATCTACTAAAGTCGTTTATCTGAACTAAAATGAAAAACTTCACTATTTAGAATATTCAAAAAAAGCACATTCCAGCCATTTAAATTTTAAGAAAGGACGATGAGAAAGGAGTTTGGTGCTTATTGTTCTCGGTTGCTAAGACTTGTAATGAAGGAAGAGAAATCGTAAAATCATGGCTTAATATTGTCGCCATTTTCTTTCAAAATTATATATAAATTTCACAAAAATTAGCAGCACTTGTTTTATAAAGTGAAGTATATCATTGAATATACTAGTTATTTGTGGTAAATTAGTTTTATCTCTAATTTATTTTTCAATATAAATTATGAATAAGAATACATTGTCATACTAATGAGTTTAGTTATGCCTGCTTTGAAATTCCTATAGCATTTTGCGATCACCGGATTGGCTAGTACATGAATAATTTTAATTTCCAACAAGATCGACTGGAAAAAAACCATTGTTGTGTACTTTAAGTATCGGTGGCGGGAATTCCGCTAATATGAAGACTCGCACCGCATTTCCCAGTTCAGTCAAATTTGAATGTCATCAATTTTTAAGTTAGACCTCTGCGTTGAATTATCTGAACATTTTCAAGAAGAAAGAAAATATCAAGGCATAATTTCTTTCTTACTGAATTGGTGGTCAATTATGGCGATCACCAGATGATAATTTAGCTGTCTAGCAATTATCTTATTTTGATGTTCAATATTATTAAAGAAAGGTTGTTTAATTTTAATGCGTAGTGGTATGTTCTCATCAATTTTTTAATTTAAATATTCAAATATTTTTATTTATATAATAGGTGTTAATGATATTCTTCAATCAATGTTACTTTCAATTGGTGGTATACGTTTTCGTAATTATCATATTGAAATGAATTTAGATCCAAAAGAACTTCATCGTGATATGTTTTTTCGTTTAATTCATTTTGGTAAACAATATTTATTAAATATAAGTATTACAGTTGGACATGATAATCGTGCTATTATTGATGTATCAATTGATAACGACAGTGGTCCAGCATATGCATGTGATGCTGGTTGTTTAGATACACCAAAAAAACTTAGGTTTGTTTGAAATGATAATTTTCAATATAAATAATCAATTAGAATATTTATTTATTCTATATAGTACAAAATCTGTTCGATTTCCTGTTAAAATGACAAGTTCATCAACTATAATACTTTATGTTACTGAAAATAAAAGTCAACTATAAGATTTTGAGTACATAAAGAAATAAATTTAGCCAAAAACTATCGGAAAATTTATTATTGTCTCTTTTTTTCGTTTGATTTATTCTTTTTTTAAAATTTATTTAGCACCTCCTCATTCACATGATGTTCTTGCTTTACANCCACACCCACACCCACACCCACACCCACACCCACACCCACACTCACACCCACACCCACACCCACACCCACACCCACACCCACACCCACACCCACACCCACACCACACCTACATCCACACCCACACCCTAGGATACTAAAAGTGAAAGACTCAGGATTTCTGACTTTCCAAGAATATAGTGAAGAGGGGAGTGTTATGAGTGTCGATCGGAGAAATGCTAGCATATATTTTCGGTTTTTGTGCTGTTTTCCGCAATCAGGTTCAGTGAAATTCAGAAATCAGAAATGATAGATTAAATGAAGCCTGATAAAAAATAACAATTTTCTATCTACTCCATTTTGAAAATGCTTTCAAGATTGTAGCTAACTAAAAAATTGCTCAGTTCGGTCGCTCTCTTTGCTTTCTAATTAGAGCACCGTACGATAGCAAATTGGTATATTATCCAAGTAAATTAGATCTTACAATGGAGGTATTTGTGTTGATAGTAAAAAAGATGGAACATATTCGGGTCAAATGAAAGCTCTCGTCGCCAAACTAACAAGGTTAAAATATTAGCGGTCCGTGGCTTTCCTAGACGGAGATATTCGAAATTTAAGGTATTTACAGTATATGTAGGGTACCTACAATTCAAGATTTCAGCTGAGTTTCTTTTTCTTTTTTTCTGATGGTTAGATAGAGCTCATCGAGTTGCATAAGAAAAAATATGTTTCAAATTGGAAAAAGAATATTTTTCGAAAGTTAAGATATTTCACGAAAAAAGTCCAAAATATCATCATTTCCAAATATAAGAGAAAATAGACCCAAAATTCTGATTTTCGTAAAATATTCTTTTTTCAATTTGAAACATATTTTTTCTTATGCAACTCGATGAGCTCTATCTAACCATCAGAAAAAAAGAAAAATAAACTCAGCTGAAATCTTGAATTGTAGGTACCCAACATATACTATAAATACCTTAAAATTCGAATATCTCCGACTAGGAAAGCCAAGAGCCGCTAATATATTAACCTTGTTAGTTTGACGATGAGAGCTTTCATTTGACCCGAATATGTGCCATATTTTCACTTATCAACACACATACCTTCATTGTTAGTGTCTTGTCTATAGCATGTTCTCCTCTTTGTCTGGTCGATTCGTTTTACATCGAATTCTATATACAATACTATGCGTTATTTTTATTTACCTTTGCGGCAAGACTGTTACCACAATTACGTCTATTAATAGCAAAGCAGGATTTCGCTACTCTTTTTCGAACAACTTGCTTTTGCCTGCACTTAACTGCAATTCAACTCATGTGGAACGTACTTTGCTAGTTATTAGTGGTCAATTACGTGACTTTATACATGTTTGGCAATGGACATATTCAAGCCTTGTGGAGCCAAACGAGCCGTGTGATGTCATATTGTCAATTCATGGAAACAGGGCAGATGTTCCGGATATAATTTTGAAGGGCTTTGGGCATCATATTGTTGCACTATTAACGACAGATACTGAAACTCCTGTAGGAAGGACTGAGTTTTGGCTGACTGCACGTGCTATCAAAATAATTCAGCCACTACGTTATACATATGTGATCAAGACATGCCCAGACCTTTTTCACCGACTTCCGATTTCAATGAAGACTGTGTATGGTAAGGAAAGAAATTTTATTTGTAGCTTACGAAGCTTTCACAAAACTCTACTGAAAAAAACTGGAAGAAAGGACTTTGACGTCGCTGATACTCTTTATGCATGGATAATCACTGCTGGTCTTGTTGAACTGATTCCAACAATGATAATGAGAACTCCAAAAACCGTGTGGGGAAAACTTGCGCCTAACGATTGGAACAAGAACGTAAGGGCGACTTTGTATAACTATTCTAAGATTGCTGTTGCCACAATGGACGAAAGAAACCCCGAAAACGATAAGCAAATATTAGAAATCCTGAACCTTACATTGAAGAAACACAAAATTGTCTATAATTTTGGAAGCACCTGGCTTCAATTCGGTCCTAGAGAGCATATGGTTCCGGTGTTTATAAAAACAGCAGACGAATACGGTCAGCACACATGGGCCGATGTCGGATTCAATGATAGTGATACTATAAATGGAAATCAATGGCGTGACGTGACTGAAAGTCAAATGAGATTGACCTATCTCAAGGGTGGCTATAACTTAATTGACATTATTCACGAACCAGATTTTGTGCAGTCATTTCTCGTTAATCAGACGTTTAGACAAGCAAAAGAGGACAGATCATGTTTATTTTTCATTGCAAGAAGTAAGGAAATCTATAAAAGACTTTGGAAGTTAACTTCAGTCACAAATATAACATATTGGTAATATGAGTCAATGTCATTTATAGCTCAGATGGCCACTCAAATCTAAAATATAAGATTAGGGTGGGTGTGGGTGTGGGTGTGGGTGCGGCTTCTGTTGAAGAGAAGATCCACACCCACACCCACATACCACACCCACACCCACACCCACACCCACACCCACACACCCCACCCACACCCACACCCACCACGCCCACCACACCCACCACACTCACACCCACACCCACACCCACACCCATGATTGATCGTCCAACTACACTGTCAGAGTTTTCGTGAAAGTAACCATACATTTTATAAGCCTTCGCCTAACCACAATCCAGGTTGAAAGTAAATAGTTTAGTATCAAGGAAATAGGCCTCTTTAGAACTCGAAAAGATCCAAAATACAATATGTTTCTTTTTCACATCAGGCTTCCAAGTTACTCTCAAATATCGACGATGCTGCTTATATTTTCGTTCTAGTTCAACAAGATGAATCTTGACGCATAAATATCTCTATTTAGTGAAAGAAGAATCATAATGAAGGTCACAGTATGCTTTTTCGCAGTAACCAGCGGAAGCAGAAAAAAAAGCTTTTGAATAGACACTCAATTCATTGGTCAAATGGCTTAGAAGAGTCGTTTGTATCACTCACGACACATTAGCCATGCCATTTTCAAGAGGATGGATGTGAAAGTGCAGGCATTATCAACAATCAGACAGGCATATCCTATATCCCATCCATATTCGACTTGATCAAATAATCTCGATAATCGTGTCAGGCAAAATGGAAACACAGAATCAATAGGGTTATTTCTACTATTTTGTTTTAGATCATCTTTTGAAGTTTTTATACTCTTTTCTGATTTATTAAAACGAATACAGAGCATAGTTTTGTCGCGAGAAGAAAGTCAATATGCATGTGACCTATTCCATTGAGTAAGAGCTAGATATAGCGAGTAGGATCATAAACAACTGAGCTCGTGTTGAAGAGCAATGCCGTTGTTTGATCATTTATATCGAATACTTTTGGCATCCATGTATTAGCAGCCAAAAAGATGACCAAAAAGCCGATGAGATTCATTACTACACCAGTTTTCATCTAGAGATATACAATCGAGTTGAATACGCAAGTGAAAACGATGTCAAACTCACCATATCGACGACTCGAAGAGCACCACTGGCAAAAACGATGGCATTTGGTGGCGTAGCTGAATAAAATGAAGGCTAAATGTTGTCTTATAGTACCTCATATTAATACTCACCTATGGGCAGCATAAATGCTAGAGAAACAGCCAATGTACATGGAAGAATGAGAAAAGCTGGATGTATGCCAGAGGAAGTTGCCTATCATTTGAATATAGTACGCGGATAGAAAAAAATTAGCATCAATGTCATCAACTAGGTTAAGAAAAGACTAATTTTAACGTACTGAGGGCAAAAAACACTCGTCCTGATACGAATAATTTTTGATAGAAAAAATATTTTAATTTCAAAGTCCACGTTGATTTATCAGAGATAAGTTAATGTTTCACCTACCACAGAATCGAGTACTGGGAAAAAGATGGTTGCCGTGCTTGTATTCGATGTCACTTCGGTGAACAAGCCACTAATCACAACTATGATCATAATAGCAGCAGCTCGCGGTATGCCGGACACAAAACTAAGAGCTCGTGCCACGCTATCCGACAGTTGTGATTTCTTAAAATTCAATGGCATATGCGTATGATATGGTTGTCTTTATTTCAACGTACTTGAAAAGCAGAGGCTAACGCAAGCCCAGCACCAAGTAAGATAATTGCGCCCCATGAAATATGCTGTGCCAAATCAGTCCATTTGACGATCGGCTGGTATTTCCAGTCGTGTCGTCCTTACAAAGAAAAATTATTCATCAGCCTACATCTATATGTTTTGATTTACAATCGCAAAAAATATCCTACGATTAAATGGATTACTGTCTGGTAAAATTAATGGAAGTATTCCGCACAAAATAGCTACAGTACCATCACTGATGTGCCTAGAAAAAAATTATGGTCTTCTCAAGTTTAGCTTTCTTTGTAAAAAGAATATAAGTAAATACTTCCGCTGAAATATTAAACTCCAACCCATTGTATCGGATAATTCTCTTGTTATCCATAGAACAATCAATAGAACGAATATAATAGCTACGATGATTTCACTCCATCTAGAACGTAGAGTAGAAGCATGTTCACGTAGAAATTTTTCTTTTTTCTGCGAATGAATCACTTTGGTCGTCCAAGATCTTTATACTGTTTTGTTAATATTGCCTTCAATTTCATTTGAGCTGTATGCCTTTCAGCAGAAGGTTGACATTGAAAGAGTCTATAAATAATTATGTAACAGAATATACGATATCACAAATTATGGGCACGTACTCTTTTTTGTTATAGCACAGTTGTATCCATATCCAACAGAGTACAAGCATTAATATTCCAACTGGTAGAGCAAAGAGTAGAAAATTGAGAAAATTTATACGAAAGGCAGTACCATTGTATTTTCTATGTTACATGAAGCATGATCAGCTATTATTTTTATTCTCTCGGTT